GGTCCTTTATTGATGTTTTTCTTAAAAGTTTGGTTAGAATTTAATGTCAGTGGAACCAAAATGACATCACACCGAACTAGCGTATAAAGTTGGTATTTTTTTATGAACTGTCATTTTAAGTTCAATGTTATCATATATTTATGTATCTTGTAATTGCAATTTGTTGATATTTTGAGTTATTTATTATTTTTGGTTATTTCGTTATTATTTTTGGTTATTTGGTCATTATTTTTAGTTATAAAAAACTGTTCTTTTAAGAACAATCATATTGTCTTCCTCTCAGGTTTAAAAATGCCAAAGAAATTAAATAGTCGATGTAAGGAGCTCATAGCTTCATTGATACAGTATTTTGAACAAGAACGCGATAACAATGGTCCTTTTCTACCTTTAACTGCTTGTTAAAGAAGTAAGTTTTACTGATATTGTCTAGAAACATCAAACTAATCTCATTTTTTAGCGTGTATCGGCAGCACTTAACTTAAATTTGTCCACTGTAAGTGCTATTTCTCAAGCAGCTAAGAATGATGTCGTTTTGAATTCGCCTCGAAAAAAGAAAGTAACTAATACAAGTACAATAATTTGAGATGTTATTTACAACATGTATGAAGCTAGTAAGTGTAGATTATTCATTTTATATCATCTAATTATAAATACCCATATATTTGTTTGCAGACGAACATGTAACTTTGGATTCTTTATTAGAAAAATTGAAAGAAAAAGAATTGTTTAATGGATGCTGCAAGTTATTATGCACCTTATTAAAAGATATTGGTTTTAAATGGAAAAAAGATTATCCAAGGCGAGGGCTTATGGAACTTTCCGATGTTGCTGTGAAACGGGCTGTATTTTTAAGAAATTACATGAAAGAAGAGGAAACAGGTTTATTTCCGTTTGTTTTTATCGAGAAGACGTGAATTTTTCAAAATGGGACTATAAACCATATTTATTTAAGACCTTTCAGACTACATAAAATCATAAGTGTTACATATGGTTGAACTATTATTGAATAGGAGATTCCAATAATGACTGAATATACAGGGCGATGAATTTGAAAAACCAAAGTGACTCATAATATAAGAGAAACGACAAATCTGGCAACATTGCAAATATCAAATCTAAAATCTCCGTGTCCCAAAATAGGTGTACCCCAAATTTTGTACAATTAGGATTAGCAATTTACGAGATAATTGGCCATTTCCAGACTTTTGGGTCACTCCGTATAACTAACAAAAGTCGTTATGTTTCGAAAAATATTTATTTTTTCATTTTTTGATACCCAAATATTGTTCAGGTAGTTAAAATAACTGCAACATTATAATAATGCTTCTACATGCTATGTTAATAGAATCCCATAAAGCACGTTTTAATATTATTTTTTAAAAACCTTACTCAACTGATATTCTTAATAGATTCATGCTTATACTTATACTACTGATTAGTATTTCTTATTGGCTAACATCACAACGATTTACAGCTGCTTTTCTTTTCTGCAGCTACAATTGTCGGAACTTTCAAAGATACCCCAATTATTTTCAAAATTTGGCAACGGTGTGGAGCTGAGACGGTCTAAAATTTATTACGTCACCGACGACGTGCATTGATTTTTATACTGTATGAAGTATAAAACATTTGTTAATTTGGTTCGGCTCGAATTTTCAGTTCAAACCATTCAAAAACTAAAAGTTTGACGTTTTAAGTGTTTTTAAGCTATTTCATAACTTTTATCGCGGGCTTTGAGCGCGGCGACCGAATCAAGAAATTCCGTAACACCGTAACGAAAAAAAACCTAACACCCCCCACTCCAACCGGCACAGCGGTGCGGCGTTAAACAATATTAACTTCTCTTTATTCAACAAAAGAAAAAACATTGTTTTCTTATCGGTCTTCACGCTCAAAAAATGTAACTTGAATTAATATCAAAGAAAAAACTTGAATTAATATCAAAGAAAAAAAAAATATTGCATAAATAAAATAAATAAATATTTATAATTGCATAAGTTGATAAAAAAATGCTATGCAATAGCTTTACCGCGGTAGTCCCCGAGTGCCACACGTATTTTTTTTTGGCAGGAACAAGTACTGGATTTAAACGTATAGGGTTTATTTATACTCCCTTATTATTAGTATTTGAATTAGTATTATGATTAAGAATTAAGTTGAACCTTCATAATGTAATGGGGACATTTATACTCGATTTATGATTAGTATTAATATTTGACAGGTTCAACTTTCATGTTAAATCTTAAATTTCTTCTTTTCTATCAAATGAATAATTTACGTATTTGGTCTTTGTTTTTAATAGACAACGGATAATGACAATTGACAATACATATATAATTATGTTGTCAGATGTTGTTAATAGGTTTGTTCCAACGAGCTCGAAAACAATAATATTTCGCTGTATACAATTTTTGTGTATCTCTAAAGTATCAGCAGTGTTCACCAAGGATAAAGTTGCCAAATGACATGTCATCACGAGGAAGCAAAGGCCTCTTATCTGTCTGATTTGTCTGAAATTTCTGCTTCTTTTTATCTGGTATAAATTTGAGACGTAAATCCGTTAAAATGTCCTTAATTAAACCTATTTTTGAATAATATAATTTTTAAATGAAATTAACTAGTAAAAATATTAATAAAAACACGTTTAAAACTCAAATATCTAAAAAAATATTCTAAAAACACAACTGGCCTCTTACGCACTTCTTCAGTAACCATACATTTTGTTAACTGCAGAATTATATCTTATTAGGAAAAATATTATTAAAAAAGAAGCACTAATACTAAATATAAAACGAGTGTAAATAACCTTTTTGAATATTTTGTCCAGTTTAATACTTAATCATAATACTAAATACAAATACTAATAATAAGGGAGTATAAATAGACCCATAGACTTAGATTTAAAAATAAAAGGCCATGCCGAATGAACTAGGATTCACGCCTGCCAATATGTTGTAGTGACTTACATGCACTACATATCTTCTTCACACTTGCATTGCGTCACAAGCGTCAAACACATCAAACACCCGTTATCCCTTGATAAACTTTTATTGCATGGCAGTTCTATAAAGACAAAAATGGAGCTCATCACCTTGTTGCTAGGGATCAAATATTTATTATTATTCCGATTTTGGGTTTTTTTTTATGTCGTTCATTTTAAAAATATAATATACAATAGATATCCTCCAATTAATTATTTCTTTATTTATGATGGGATCAAATTATAATTAAAGACCCACATATGTCTAATTTGCATTTAAGATCAATCGTTTGATTAAACTTTCGTGTTTATTTGTGAATATTCCGACCTTGTACACCTTGGACAATAGTTTTACAATAATTCTGTAATTGCATATGAATGGTTGAATTTTTAGCAAGCGAATTAAAAGGAGACAATGTGCAAAGTGGCGTTCATCGCTTTTGGTAATTGTTCCGAGCCTTTGACTTTCACAGTTTGACTTTGAATACCACAGTTCAAATTCAATATTATAACGTAGCACAAAAAATAAATAAATCATTGATGTTATCAAACTGATATGTGTGTAGGTGATAAAAACACATTATCTTAAAGGTACAAGGTTATAGAAATTCGAAAATTAGCACAGTTTGTTTAAATATTCTTTAAAATTTTCTTTTTTACACAGATTTCTTCATAGTTTGCCATCATTCTTCTTCATCATCATCAGTCTTTCATATATGCGTGACTATCTGATGCCACTTAACCAAAATTGATGCCACTGATTTTGGTAATTTATTTGTACATTCCAAAGTACGAAGGTTGTCATAGAGGGAACGTCATATACATAATAGGTATTCTTAATTCCTAATTGATATTCCTAATTGATTAACATACGAAATTAAGAAAGTACAAATGTAAATTTTAAATGCATTGTAATTGAAATCATATGCTTAATAAGGTTCCGTATTGATTTTGTTAAAGCACGTGAAAATCACATGATAAGTTTTTATATCCGAATTTATAATAAGCTCAAAATGTACTGATAATGCTTTGAACGTAAATAAATTGATAATTGATAAATATATGCATTTTAAATGGTTAGTTAAAAAAATAATATCAACATTAACTCGAGTTAAAACTTTTTTGAAAACTGAATATACAGTTTTTTATTTAATATAGTTTTATTTTAGAGAACAAGTATTAGAAATTAAAAATTTAAAAAAACCGACTTCAAAAACGTGCAGATGCCATCACCACATCTTAACCAAATTTATATGGGACCATCCCTGAGGTACCTACCCCCTTACTAACAAAAAAATAATCATATAAATCGGACAAGGTGGTAAACTTACATAAAAAATGAACAGTTTGAGGATTTTCTCATGGACCCAATTATTAGATTTTGAACAAATTTATATGGGACCACCCCTGAAGTACTCCCTTTTCAACAAAAAAAGAATGATTAAAATCGGACACTGTGTTAAAGAATTATGGCTGAACATACATAAAAAAAAATATATCGCTACGAATTGAGAACCTCCTCCTTTTTTGAAGTCGGTTAAAAATGATATTTTATGCCACTCCATCGTGTGTTATATTTCAATCCATTCTCCAATGTTAACTTTCTTCTCTTAATTGTTTTCAATGCCAACATTTAAATGTGACATATCAAGGTTATGGAGCGAACACCCAATAAGTCAAAGTCAAAGATTCGAAAACAATTTATGTTTGGTCTAAAAATCGTTCCATTCATAACAAATATGTTCCCATCATTTGTTATTTATTCTGTTCCCAATTTTAATTATGATATTTGTATTCTTAAAAACTTATTTTGTCTGACGCAAGTAACTAGTTTTCAATAAAACAATGTTTTATATAATATATAATGAATACTGTATTTTTCAAAAATTAGTTTAACAATGGAATTTACGAGGTCGTCTATTACGTAGTCTATATCTACATAATAATAAGCAATTTTTATTGACGAAGACGACGACGACGACGACGACCTTTTTCACAAATATAAATAAATGAAACTTACTTGTAAATGCATATCTCTGTGTCCCGTTTTTCCATAAGCAGAATTCTTTGTTAGATATCGCCTAATGTTTCTTATAGTTTCCAATTCAGTTGCCGATTCACCTCTTAGAATTTCCTTCGGTTCGAAGTAGACTAATTTGCAGAGGGAGCCACCTATGTCCATACCAAACCATGGCATTGCTGGAAACAAATGGTAACAATAAACGGGTGCACATAGGAATCATGAATAAAAGTTTTAGCATTGTTGACTTTTATGAAGATCATTTATGGGTGTCATCTATGGGTGCGTATGTTATATACATGTTTTTCACAGTATTTTTTAATTTTAACTCGAGTTTGAATTGCTTCTCTTCTCTACTTCTCTTCAGCAAGATTCAATTTAAACCTAAGCAAATTTGGTGTCAGAATGTATAAAATATGATTTTTTCCCCATTTTTTTCCCTAAAGACTGTCATCTATTGGTCATTTTATCTTATATTCCACAGCAAATTATCTATCGATGAGATGATGGTTCGTTACTATGGTAGACATTTCGTCAAAATGTATATTCATGGAAAGCCAATCAAATTTGACTACAAAAATTAACTAATTTAAACTAAATTATTTTTACTATTTTACTATAAACTTATAACACCCTTTAATTTCAGCTTTCAATAAAGACTGTTTTACAAAATACCATTAATTGCCTTCATTATCTAGATTATGTTATTTGTTTATTGTTGTTTAAGATTTATTAAAGTATTCAAGATAACCATAAAACCCTTTTTTAAGACACATAAATCTTTTGAATCTGCGAGATAGCCTTAGGGCTGCTATAAATCTGCTAAAGGGAAAATCCTATAACGGTTCGTAGTATTTTTAAAACATTATCTTAAAACTAATTAGATCTAAGTCAAAGTCCGTAAAAGTATATTAAGAATTTTACTAAACCATTTTTAAATATCTTTTAAGATTATGATAATAAGTGGGATGGACATTAAAACTTTACAAAACTAATCAGTTTTAAGAGAATTAAATTTTAAACTGTTTTACCTTTATTTTATTTTGTCATACTCTCTGTCAGAATAATTTTGCAAACATTTTGGGAAGACTGGCGTATTAGAAATTATTATATAGTGTAGGGGAGAGGGGGGCCATTGGGATACGGGGCACATATGGACATTTCAAATTTTAGCGCCACTAAACGTGAAGTTTAATTGTACTACTTGACCGCCTCAAGCAATTCCGTAACTTATTACTCTTTGGTGCGTAAACGTGTCCAACGTTGTAAATAAATCGAAAATCGTTTGAGATCGAATATTTTCCAAGTGGATGTTAGAATTCTAGAGGTAAGTAGACTTGTTGATCCTTACTATGTCGGTATATGCTGTTGTAATTGTTTATTTTAGTTCTTTACATAATCTTATTTTGTTCATAAGCATGATTGGGGTAGATAGGGACATGTAGTCGGGGGCACACATAGACACTGTCCCAATCTACCCCAGAGAAAACTAAGACTGCGAAATTAATTATAATTCATATGTACCTTTTGTAGTCCCCTTTTTGATATCAATAAACCCCTGAAACAACTTTAAAAAAATTAATGACTTGGGGTAAATCGCATTTCAATTCCGTTTCTGTGTTATAACCTCTTATGTACTGCTGTCCCAATCTGCCCCAGAGAAAATGTGAAAAATGACTGAACATATTTTTCAGGCTTTAAAATGGTAACAATTTATAAGAGGAATACCAACCGTTCTGCTATATCGGAGGAGAATATAATTGCCGCTGTTCAAGATGTTTTGCAAGGAAGACTTTTAATAAGAACTGCAGCCATAACCTACAATTTGAAAAAGTCGACTGTGGGTAACAGAGTGAAGAAAATAAAAAGACGTCTGGAAGACCCTAACCGAGACCCTGACGCTTCTAACAGACAAGATGCAGATGTTGACATATCATTTTCATCACCATTCCAGTCAAAGTATTCGTCTCAACAAGTTTTCACATCTGCCCAAAAAGAAGAACTAGCCAAATATTTTATCCAAAGTTCGAAAATGAATTATGGTCTCACATATACACAAGCTGAAAAACTGGCGTTCGATTATGCCAAAAAATGTATCCGCCGATCTGGAATAACTCGTTATCCGCTGGAAAGAATTGGATGAAATTATTCAAGAAGAGTCTCCGGATTTAATGAAACAAATGTGAAAGAATTTTTTAATAATTTACAGAAAATTTTAGAAAAGTATAACATACCTCCAGAATGAACCTACAATTTGGATGAAACAGGCGTTGCCACTGTTTTAGACGCACCGAAAGTTATTGCCAAAACTGGTACAAAACAAGTGGGTCAGGCAGTATCCGCAGAACGAGGAGAGTTGGTTACATTTTGCTATATAATAAGTGGAGTCGGAAATACAATTCCTCCTGTCTATGTGTTCCCAAGAGCAAAATTTAAGGATGTTTTTATGAAAGGTGCGCCCACAGGCAGTCTTGGATTAGCCAACAAGTCAGGATGACATCCATATTATTTTTGGATGTAATTAAAAATATACAGAAGCATACAAAATGTACGAAAGATGAACCCATACTGATTGTATTGGACAACCATGAGTCCCACACCAACCTCGAAACAATTTTATTTTGTAGAAAGAATGGAATTATTTTCGTTACCTTTCCCCCCATTGCACACACCGCCTCTAGCCTCTTGACGTTGTACTATATGGCCCATTTAAAACCTATTTGAATAATAATAATAATAATTATAATAATATTTATTCACACATAATAATAATATTATAAAAGTTTTACAATAATACACAAACATATGTATTGTAACTTCAATGTAAATAAGTCATTGACCCCATTAAAACTGTTTAGTCGAGCATGGGAAATGCCAATTTTTATTAAAAATTGAAATTGCCAAAACGCAGTAGATAAAAGAAATTATAATGAAGGTATACATAATAACTAAAATAATAAAATAATAATAATAATAATAATAATAATAATAATAATAATAATAATAATAATAATAATAATAATAATAATAATAATAATAATAATAATAATAATAATAATAAGATATTTATAACTTATATAAATAATAAAAATTTTAATTGGTAAAAAAATATAGTTAGCAAAAATACTGATGCGTGATAAGGGTGTGAATTATATTGTTTTAAAAAATTAGAATGATATTGCCATATTTATTGTTTATCTGCCCAAATGGATTTCAAACAGTGATCGAAAGTAAAAGAGATTTTCTTTCATTTAATATGGAGGAAAACTCTTCGGTATGCGTTTCCCTGAAAATTAGTTCAGATGATGTAACGCTAACAATTAGCCCAAATAATGATAATGAAAGCGACAAAATAGCTTTATTAAAGAAAATGTTAAAAGACATGAAGGAGAGTGCGTTAGAACAACAAGTAAAAGATAAAAAGTTGAACAAAAATACCTTCAAAATTAAGTTAGGTACGTGACATCACTAACAAAGCAATATCCAAGTTAAAATCAGATAACTTAGCGAAAGCCAAATTAAAAGATTTTGAAGAAATATTGCCATCAACATCTAAAACCTCAGAATCTAATGTTGAAATTTTTAAAAAATTAGTGTATTTTCTTGCGTATTTTTCTTTACTTTTCATATTTCCGACACATCATATCTCCGTCACTCTTTCATATTTCCGTCACCTCATGTTTTAGTGAAATTGTAATTCTACTAAGGCACTTGGAGTTAAAATTTTTCAATTTAACGTAATATTTTAGAGTTATTTAACTGTTTTATGCAATTTATATAAGCTACTTTAGATATTTTTACTAAAAAAGAGAAAAATTCCATTTTTTTATCTTTTTTTTTAATAAATTTGCAAATTTTTCTCACTACATTTATTTAGATTGTAGTAGCACATTTTGTTGATGTATTTTTAAAAGATGATGGATGGTACTTACTTTAGAAAAATATTACAAAAATAATAATTTAAAAGTTATCTAATTTTTTTTTGTAGTCTTGTATGGGTGACGGAAATCTTAAAATATAAGACATACATAGACACATTTCTACAGAAAAAAAAAGTATATGAATATTTTCAATAACCAAGGTTCAAACCAAGTATATCAAGCATGTAACAATATAAAAAGGATGATATTAAACTGATAACTTAAGGTGATATTTTCAAAATCACTTATAGTGCAAATTAAAAAGTTATTGAAAAGGACCCATATGTTCTGGGTTTAGAAAAAGCGGTATTATGCCTTTTGATAAAGGTATTTTTAAGGAAGATGACTTCGCTGCTGAATCTGTAACAGATTCAAGGGCTCCAGAAGAAACAGACGCACCTTGAACATTTGCGCTGTCACTAGCACTTCATCAAATGCACCATCAACATCTGCGCTGGTCATTAGCACTCCATCAACTTCATTACAGCCTGAAGTCATTTCACCAGACATAATACGGCCCTACCCCAAAGCAGAGAAAAAGAAATTAAAGTTAAAAGGAAGACGGCCTGGAAAATCACGATTTCTAATAGAGACGCCAGAAAAAGATAGACTAGAAGAAGAAAAGATAGTCAAACAAAAGAAGAAGCAAGTGAAATAGAATCTGTTTGATAATGTAAAGCAACAAGCAAATGATTCAGATGATTCAGGGGATGAAGTAATCTACGCTGATGATGAATCTGACTGTTTAAGTGAAATGGACCGTGAAAATTCCGACCAAGAATTCATGCAAGACGTAGAACCTATCATAGATCCTGAATCTGAGACGCCAAATATCGAAATCGGCGACTTTTTGCTGGTAAAGTACTGCATGAAGAAGACCCAAAAGTATTATGTTGGAGAAGTGGAAGAAATAATCGATGGAAAATATTTAACAAAGTTTTTAAAAAAGAAAGAAAATGGATTTACTTTTCCCCAAGTCACTGATAAGGACCTAATAGAATTGGAACAAGTGGAACTAAAACTACCTAAGCCAAGAACGTCTGAAACAACTCCAAGCTCAAGTTCAATAAAGCGGTTTCAAGTAGACTTTGGTGCCTATAACGTCAACTAAACTAAATAAACATTTTGTGTTTAAAGATGCCTTTTTTACATTTTTTATTGTTTATGCGACTTGTGTTAGATTGTTCCAGCTTTATTCACCAAATAAATATGACTAAAACTTTTAGAACATAAATTGTTTTTGTCCACACCTGCCCCTA